AACATAACATCTCCTTACTATTATGAATGGACTGATCCATCCATGATAAGTAGTCCTGGGTAATTGTCTAGAAAGAAAAAGAAGATAATACTATTGCAGTGACTTGTCTAGCTGAGTACTGAATACTATTATCTCGACTAACTCTGTCATGCCAGACTCCACAATAGTTGGTGATGAATATGAGATCCGAACTCACGCGTGGAGACCCCCAAATTAACAAAATTGCCACCAGATAAATCTTTCCCTTGGTCAAAAACAGACACACCGTGTTTGAGATTACAAGTCGATTTCACCGGACCGATAAATGGTGCCTTGTCGACCTCATATTCCCACGTTAACGAGATCCATCTACCTGAGTTTAGCAAAACAAATTTGTCCTTCTAAACTGATTGCTAACAAAAGCTGAATATCCCAGTTTGCCTTGCTATTTAACCTATAGCTGGAGGAAGAAGGGATTGTTTCATATCGGAAATTCGGACAATTTCGGAAATTCGGAAAAAAATCGGAAAATTACGGAAATTCGGAAAATTACGGAAATTCGGAAATTTTCGGAAATTCTTAAAATGCAAGAGTCCACCTTCTACAATAGCAATAAACCTCTTGCATGAAGTATTTGCTAGATACGGAATCCCGAAAAGAGTTGTTTTCTACAATGCTACGAAATTCACAGCTAAAGAGTTTGAAAGTTTTTGTAAAACTTTTCGATACAACATAGCCATGATCGAATGGGCAAGCAGAACGTTTCGTAGATACATTCAAATTGGTATTAAAAATACAAAAAACAATGAAAGCAAATGTAAAGATATGTTAGTAGTATATTTTTTACGTTTATATCGAGTTACATTTAATCCTAACACCGGATCAGGTATATTCCCGGCAGAACTAATGTTGACAAGGGAAATTAGATTGGTGTTTGACAAACTATTGCCGAATAAAAAAAAAAAGGCTGTAAACAAGAAAAAAAATGAGATAACCAGAAATACTTCAATCCCGGCGAAGAAGTATTTTTTCAAATTGACAAAAATGGAAAATAATGCTGGGAAGATGGGTGAGCCAAGAGACATATCGGAAAGTTATTGTACATGATAAAAGGGTTTTCCTACGTCCATAATAGACATCTAAATTAAATAAGAAAAAGATACTCGGACAGAGCATCTGAGAGGAGTAGCTGATGCTGGTTTCTGTATGATGTTCACCATGTATTTATGCCTCAGATAGCTGTGGAAATCACACGCTTCAGTAAAAGAAATAGAGAGCCTACAGATGTGTTATATCTTAACCCAAAAAGAAAAATCTATAATTTCTATAGGAAGTATGTTTCAAAAGGGGAGATGTTGTAAGTTCCACTTAACTTCCTTACAATCATGAATGGACTGATCCATTCATAATAAATAGTCGTTGGCTGTTGCCTAGAAACGGAGAAGATAATACTATTGTAATGACATATCTAGCTGAGTATTGATTACTACTCTCACAACTGATTCTGTCGAGTTATGTGATGTGTCTTACCAGACCCCACATAACAACATTTTTAAATGCTGCGATATTTATTAATTCGTAGTATTGTTATCTTGCACCAAGTCCCAATCTAAGACAAATTATTCTGTGAGAGAGACTAAAATAGTGTAATCTTATTGTTGTAACCTAGGAAACGTTACGGAATAGTATAATCACACGAAGGTTGGTAATGAACGATAATACTTAGGACAAGAACAACACATATAAGATTCACCAGCGGCGCGTAGACGTAGTAGCCAACTGCTAGAAGTGAGTCAAGTGAATTCAACAATGAATCGTCAACTGCTTGATATCTACCAGCCGCCCCACGGGGTCAGATGTGACTCAGGGCCGAATTTAATATGAGGTATCCGAGCCCGTAGGCTCGCCCAAAAATTCACCGTAGACCCCGTATAAAACGGTGTCGGGTAGCTGTTTCTCGAGACGAGACTTTGCTCTTCTACATAGCCTCATCTTGGGATGTTCACTGCCCGGAAGCAGAGAGTGTTGACCATGTTCACCATAGTTTATGAATATAGAATACAGCGCAGTACGTAATCTGTTCAATGAAACAACGTTAAAGATTAACACTCACGAGTCAGACACTCTACTGAATCTGACTATATCGCCAATACCACCAGCAGCTGTTCCGTGATTCTTCAGTCTTCGATATCAAAGACTGGCAGTGAATATTCGGGAAAAACATGGCCGCCTTTATACACGTCGCATTGAATATTTTGAGCTTTCTGATTGGTTAACCCTTCCATTGGTGAACTATAAAATGAGTCAGCTCATTTTGGCTGGTTCACTAGTACCTCAGGGTACCCAAAAATTCCAACAGCAAGCTTGACCAGCACAGCTGGAGACGAATCTCCAACTGCAGACCAACATACAGTATTTACTACTGTATTTATGTGCATAGGGATAAATCCATTATCGTCCGTAACACTTATAATGCCCTTTTTTATGCTGAATACAGAAATTTCATGTTTAGAACTTGTGTCAGCATCATTTCATAAGTTGAACCTAAACACTAGAATACACGCCCAGAAATTGCAATGTCGCACAGAATATTTTTGTATCATAACATTCTATATCTGATGTTCGTGACTAGGATAGTTGTTGTCCATAATACTCTTGAATTATAATACAACGTGCTGGATGATTAAGTAATGCCAAATGTAGGATTTGATAACCCATATCAGTTGGTTTTATTAATGAAATACGTGACAATTTTTTTTCAATCTAATCAAATAACAACAAAATATTTTTAGTAACAAAAGAGAAGGCGCCATTATCAAATGTTTATATGTTCTTCGGGAGGAAAGCAAGGTAGAATAGAATAATAAAAGAAATCTCTCCGAAGATAACGTCGAGTGTGGTCAGTACCTTGATGAATGACCTTGAAAATACCACTTACTGTAATTTTGGATGTGCGGATGGTGTAATGGATAATGGCTCAGGATTGTTAATCGGAAAACTGAGTTCCATTTCTATTTGGGTTCGTTTCATTTCCTTACGCTCAAATATCCTTAGGAAAGACATGAATCTACTTCTCCCCCAGCTATAGGTCAGTTAGTAATACTTGTATCACAAAATCATTATTATGTAAAAAAAATTCTTACAAACTAAAATATAAAATTCCTAGCTTTAAATAACCGGCAAAGGATTGGTAAGCAGTAAAAAACATTCAATTTATTATATAAGGAAGTAACTTTCTGTTTCTCTAGAAAAAAACAGACTGTTGGAAATTTCCAAATTGCTCATCGAGTATCGATCAAGTTCTTGCCTATGAAATATACAGCCTTACTTTCCTAGACTACATCGACAACCTGAAAAACAACAACAAAAAAAAATGTACAGCGTTCGCGATTCAATTAACTAAAACTCGATATGTTATATTCTCAAATGTCTCAGAGTTAATGTAGTTGCGAGATGTATCTCATCACTTTCAGCATTTCACCAATATTCGGTGACAATCATGCGTATCTCAATTCTATTTCTCTTCTTCAACGATTCTCCTATCTAAGCCTCTTAAAGCGCCGATGGAATTACACATTGCGTATCGTTGGTCGACAAATCAGTCTTATTGTATATTGAGTCAGTTTCAGTATTTCTCGTAGTTCTACATAGCAGTCTCATTCGACAGCTGCATTATCAAATGGTCTGCTGATTAGAATTGAGATATAATAATAGAGAGAGCGATCAAACTATTCAAGTGATCATTATTGACCTACTGTATGACCTCTGAATTTGATATTTTGATTAAACTAAGTCCAAATGGAATTTACATATTTATTACACGTAATCAATTTGGATGCAACTCGTGTACACGTATTAATCCTTAATTTTGTCTATATTCCTGAGATGAGGTATTATGTATACTATTTACATTATTCGGACTATTGTCCTCATCTTTGTCGCCAACGTTTCGGCCTTTTAGTATCTGTCTATATTTTTGAGATGAGGTATTATGTACACTATTTATATTATTCGGACTATTGTCCTCATCTTTGTCGCCATATTTATCACAACGTTTCGACCCTTTAGTATCTGTCTATATTTCTGAGATGAGGTATTATGTACACTATTTATATTATTCGGAGTATTGTCCTCATCTTTCTTGCCATATTTATCACAACGTTTCGGCCCTTTAGTATCTGTCTTTATTTCTGAGATGAGGTATTATGTACACTATTTACCTTATTCAGACTATTATCCTTATCTTTGTCGTCATATGTATCACAAGGTCACATGGTACAGTGGATAGAGGCGTTAGTCAGATCCAGTGACATTATCCAAAGAGTGTGAGTTCAATACCCGGTTAAGGCAGTGGAATACTTGGAGAGGGGAATTAACAGGTGATAACTGATAACTGACATCCATTAAATATTCCACGTGGAACTAGAACAGTCTTCCCCAGTGAGCGAAATAATGGGTTCAGTTCGACATTCCAACCACCTGAAGAAGGCCGGAGCGTACAACGGCTGAAACGTTGTAATTAATATGGCGACAAAGATGAGGACAATAGTCCGAATAATCCTTAATTTTGTTGTTTAAATCATAATTTTTGCGTCAGTGTATTCTCTGGCTTTTTATATTCAGTCAACTTTAAAGTCAGACTTTGTGTTTTTTTTCTTAATTTCTATCAACATCGCTAAAGGAATCAAGCCAATCCAATAATGTACGCAGCTCATATAAGTTCGTGTTGTTTGCTTTGGTTGTTTTTGCTTAGCGGCATATAAACACCTCTATGGGTTATTTAATGTTGAAATATAAATATTTTGAACGCAATTTTGTTTAATTTATTTAATTTTTTAGGCGATATTGGTTCTAGTGATACAAGTTTTATTAATTAACCCATACCTGGGCGGAGGAAAGGTGGATTCATTCATTTGCCAAGGGTATTTGCACGTATGTGAATATAACAAACTTAACTAGAAATTGAAACTCGGCTCTCCTATTAACAATTCCGAACCAATTACACCACCCGCACATCCTAGCTTACAGTACATATTATTCCCAGACGGTCACCTATCTTGGTAATGACCAGACTCGACGTTGCTTAACTTCGGTGATTGTACAGGAACCAGTGTTTCAATGTGATGTTGATAATAGGGGCCAAATTCGGATGAAACGAACAATTATAAGGATACTACAATGAATAATTATATCTTAATTAAAACAAACAAGGCCGGAGAGTGCACCAGGCGAAACATTGGAATAAAAACAAATCTAGAAGATGAAAATAGTTTTAAAAATATCTATTCAAAACACTCTCTCATTACAGAATAACAATAGATAGTAGAAGCCTGGAGAGAATACAGATTGTATGTAGCGTATTCTATCAAGACGTCAGCAATTATGTTCTCTATTGTGCTTTCAAGCTGTAAGTAATAATTGTCCACCTAATAGCACTCTCAGTTACTGTTGTAATCTAGCGAAGGTTATTGAATAGAATAATCAAAGATTGGTAATGAACGATAACACTTAGGTTAAGAACAACACATATAAGATTCACCAACGGCGCGTGGAAGAAGTAGTCAACAACTAGAAGTGAGTCAAGTGAATTCCACAATGAATCTCCAACTGTAGGATATCTACTAACCGACCAACGCGGTCAGATGTGGGACAAGGACGAATTTAATGTGGGGCATCCGAGCCCGTAGGCTCGGCCAAAAATTCCCATTAGACGACGTATAAAACTGGGCCAGGTAGCTGTTTCCCGAGACGAGACACTGCCCTTCGACATAGCCTCGTCTAGGATCCTCTCTGCCCAGAGGCAGAGAGTTTGAGTAGCACAGCTGGAGACGAATCTTCAACTGCAGGATATCTACCAACCGCCACACACGGTAAGATGTGGCACAAGGTCCAGTTTAATGTGGGGTATTCGAGCCCGTCGGCTCGGACAAAAATTCCCCGTAGACGACGTATAAAACGGCGTCGGGTAACTGTTTCCCGAGACAAGACTCTGCCCTTTGACATAGTCTCGTCTGGGGATCCTCTCTGCTCGGAGGCAGAGAGTTTGACCAGTTGGAGAGGAATCTTCAGCTGCAGACCAACGGTATTTACTACTGTATTTATGTGAATGGGGACATACCCATTATCGTCCGTAGGTTTGCTACGAAAGTTACTTTACTGACATCCATTTACACAAACACCAACTATGTATGTTACTCGCTGTTACTCTACTGCTTTCAGTATGCCCTGTGAGTGTTCAATTTCTCAAGCCCTCTTTTCTCATCATGATTCCGAGAAATTTCAATTGTTTTTTTCTAATTCTAAGTATATGTGCCTCCATATTCCGCAAAGCTCCGCAATTGCTCTCATAATCCCTCCATGGTATTCTCAGTATCCTTCTGTAGAACAGCATCTATGTAGTTTCAAGTCACCTCTTCATATGTGAAGAAACTGTTCAACATTTGAGTAAAACCGCTATCACATAGCAGATCAACCCACTCTTTCAAATGAAAATTTCCTGTTTCTTAATACTCCGTTTAGCTTTTGGAAAGCATCTTTTACTATGCCTATGCGCTTTAGGATTTCAGTGTCATGTGTTTGTCGTCTGATACAACATTTGCAGATATGTAATTTCGATACACGCTCGAGTTTGATGTTCCCAACTTGTTTCTCGAATTTTGGACTGCGCCATTTGTTAACAATTCACAGATTCTGTCTTCTTTCATATGATGATCAATAATTTTATGTCACTAGAGAAGGTAATGATAAAAACAATAAAGATGTTGATAAGAATCTGCAGGAATAATCAAGTTGCTCTATCTCAAAACTTTGAAATTGGACTGCGTAATTAAAGTGATCAAGAGGGTGATAATATTCGGAGTTGTTCATTAAATAATAATAATTAATTTCCAGGCAAGAAACCAAAATCTCTATTCAAATACAAGCTACCCTGTGGCGTAATTCTGTAGTTCTGTAGACCATTGCCAGTCGAGCAGCATTTGTCCCGACAGATTACGTGGCTTTACTTAGCTAAACAATGTAAATATTTATAAACATCAGCGCGTATCTGAAACTTACTTTTGTTAATTTATAACAAGAAAAACTACGATTTATAGTTTTACAGATCACATTGAATTCAAAGCAAGTGAGTTGTCAGATATGTGAGTGCTAGGAACGGATTTCTGACCCATTTCCTAAAATCTGATCAAATGTCAAATCAAAATGTCTGCGTGAAGAGATTTTTTGGTCGACTCAGTAATCTTTCTCTATATATATATATATATATATATATATATATATATATATATATATATATATATATATATATATGAATAAAAAGAAAGAACAGTAAGATGTATAATCCGGTGTTCTTATTGATATTTTTATTTTTACAAAACAGTGCTCAATGTAAATTTACAGAGCATAAATATTATAAAGTAACTGATTTAAAATATGTTTTTTTTTGCTACACAGTAATAAGCATGTTTCAAAAATGGAAGCTGAAAATTTCAAATTTAATTTTGTAATTAAATTAAAAACATTAGTTCCATTTCATCTTCAAGTGATTATATATATAATTGAACATTGAAGTCAACGCTTAGAGGCGACAGACTGTTTCATGCTAGACACAATAATCCGACCACATATGTTGGATTTTTCTCAACTATTTATATATATGAGTCAGTGTTGCATTGTGGGTAGTCCATTCTAACGGTTATTATGGCAGGAGTCATTTATTTATTCATTTGGTTTCATTTATTTTGCTTGTTTTTTGTATTTATTTTTGTTTTATATATTTACTTATACTTTTCGGGTTTCGATGTTTTTGTAACGTAGTAATTACTATTATTCTAGTACTATACGGACCATATATTCTCTACTCTATTCACTATACTATTTCTTTATTCGGATCACTATACGGATTACTATACGAGCGAAATTTATCACGCAAATACTATTAGTGCGAGTGCTGTACGATGGCGTCTGACATCGGTATTGTTCAATAGAGTAATTTGGTTGTATCTGCGATTACAAAGGCTCTACTATGACAAGCATTACGAAAGTGAGCACGTTGATATCACAAAAATGGTAATAAGTGTTCGTTGACATCACAAAACATGGCTTACCCACTCATCAGGTAAACTTACTAATACCTTAGATTATTTTTGGATATCTATCAACACTGCATATTTTGAATTTATACCCACAATAATATATGATATTTATAATAATCTTGAACTTTGGATCAACGTTGATACCATGAGATCCAGTTTAAAAAAAAAACACAACGTAATGAATATTTCATGTTCATTACGTTGTGTTTTGTTTTATATGATATATATATATATATATATTATATATATATATATATATATATATATATATATATATATATATATATATATATATATTAATAATTACAAAAAAACAACGTAATGAACATTTCATATATATATATATATATATATATATATATATATTAATAATTACAAAACAACGTAATGAACATTTCATGTTCATTACGTTGTTTATATATATATATATATATATATATATATATATATATATGAAGAAATATTGTTTTTTTAGATGTGCTATATTTATGGAATAAAGTACTCAATATTAGGGATAAAGCGTATTTAAATATAAATAAAAACAGCTTTAACTTCCCAGACCAAAATAAACTATTAAATAAACGATCAAAACTTTTCGCACCTGAGGAATGGGTAAACCATGAAACACTGTATTGTACTGTAAGCATAGGTATATGGTTTAATTATTAATATATATTTTATAGCTATTTTAAACTACACTGAACATTGTTTTGTCTACACCATTGGTTAAATAGTTATTTCTTCACCTGTATGTGTACGTAATCGCTCACATATATGCTTGATCATATCTCTTTATTTAGATCATTTCTATATACACACACACAAACACACACACATATATATTTAATTGAATAATATAGACATATGTCTATCTATTTTTATAATAATCATTTATAGTTCTCTAATCAGTTTCTTGATGCAAAGATTAAATTCATCAAGGAAGGCGCCGTAGACTTTTCATACCCAAGTACTTTCGATCTCCCTGAGATTATCCTCAGAGGTGAATTACAAAGTCAAACTTACTGTAATTATGTGCGTTGATGAATTTCATCTTAACATCAGCCCGTTGAAGAAGTAGACACACATGTTATGGAGACCGTTTTTAAGCGTGAAAATGACAGTAAATGAAAGGTAAGGGTAATGGTAAAATTGATGGTTACTGTAATGGTAAAATACACAATTTCTGTACAGGAATATTCAGTATTCAGCGTTTCGTTAACTCTGTTAACGTTACTCTGTTTGGTATATATCTAACCATTTTATTGAAACGGTTTTTTCATAAAATGAATAGTCCACTAAATGTTATATATCTTTCTAATATGAACGGAAGTTTCATTCAAAACCTTCTGTCTTTGATACAGTGGACTGTTAACAACTTGATTACATCAATATTTTCTCTTCTAGCTACATATGTGTTATGGGATCTTACCCATAATAATAATAACGGATAATTCCATATTTAATAAATACTGCGACTCAGGAGTAGGCAAGGTGTCAGTAGTTCACTTCTGAACCGACTGTTCGGTTGAACTCTCTGCCTTCGGGCGGGTAGGAACCCGAACGAAGCTACGCCGAAGGGCGGATTCTCTTTCGGGGAGGTAAACCGACCCTGAACCCGTTTATACGGGTTCAATTGGCATATTTTTGGTCGATCCCACGGGCTCGGAGATCCCACGTTAAAAAGGCCTTGTGCCACATGACGCCTTCGTGGGGGGAGGTGACTGAATATCGTCAGTAGTTCAAGTCTTGAACGACAGATCGGTTGAACTCTCTGCCTTCGGGCGGGGAGGAACCCGAAGGAGGCTACGCCGAAGAGCGGATTCTCTTTCGGGGAGGTAAACCGGCCCTGAGCACGTTTATACGGGTTCAATTGGCATATTTTTGGTCGAGCTCACGGGTTCAGAGAGCCCACGTTAAAAAGTCCTTGTGTCACATGACACCCTCGTGGGGGGGTGACTGAATATCGTCAGTAAATCAAGTCGAGTCAAGAGTCGAGTCAGAGGCAGTCCGAAACAGAGTCGCTTTCA